AATTAATTATGTATGTTTACATATCAAAATCATTTTGGCATTTTCTGATCCATATATATATTTAAAATCATCACCTTGTATGTTTGGTTTATTTATTTATTATTTTTATATATATGACAAAATTCTGCATAAGAGATTAAGAAAAGAAATCAAAGGAGCAAACTAAAGAAGCAAAAATAGTGAAAAATGTTCTGCTAACCTCTTAACTATCGTTGTTAATTAGATCCAACAAAAATAAAAGGAAAAATGGTGACTCTTGAACTTTATATATAAAAAGAAATTACTAAACACATCAACTTTATCTTCTTTTTTTTTTTCTTTTTTTTTTCTTTTTTTTTTTTTTACATATATACAGGCTTAATAGCCAAATACTAGTAATTAATTAAGGTTATTATAGGGTTCAAATTAAACTTCTGAAATTAAAATCGATATATTATGTTAGTCACCTTCTTCTTCGATCTAAAGAAGGGCAATTAGCCGATTGTCAGTAATAACTATAATTATCAACTTTTATCGATAATAATTGGTTATTGAACTCATATGCAAAAGTTGATATGTTTAATTATAAGTTTATAACATTCAAACGCTTATTTAATCTATCCTACCAAAATAAACTTTAAAAAATTAAAAACAATTACTTTTTTTTTTTTGAAAGTTAAAAAACAATTACTTAAAAAGTTTCAATTAAAACTCTAAGCTTAATAAATATCATACAATTAGTTTACTTTCTTACCAATTGTCTAGCACTATCGAGTTGGTGTCCATATTTGGTTCAACGATCATACAACAATTGTTGAATCTTTGGACCTGTGATGCTGCATTTTAGGGGTGGACATTTTGGGCTTCAGTTTGGTTCTTTCGATTTTAGTTTTAAAAAAATTAAACCATTTGATTTAACATTAGAATTTGGTTCAGTTTGAAATGGTTCAGTTTCGGTTCAGATTTAATTCGGTTTGTTCGGTTTAAGATCCTCAAATTTCAACACTTCCTAATTTTTCGAACATACTATCAAACAATACATAACCACATACTCCAAATGCAAATCCAAAATCTAAACATTATATAATAAAAGAGCAATCCAAAGTTCAAACACACTACTAAGTACTAATTACCAAACATCAGTTAACTTTTTGCACAACCGACTCTCCAGTTGGCTCACTCAAAATATTTTATTGACAAGATGAATAATCATGTCTTAATATTTGAAGAACAAGTGTCAAGTACTGTATAGTTAATTTTTGGACACAATCCGTCATTGCTAGTGTACTGGAATATTATTTTCCAGTGCACTGGAAATATAGTACTAGAAAATAAATCCAGTGTATTGGAAATTAATCAAAATTAGAATGATCTTAAAACACATTTTTTTCAACCTACTAAAATACATGGAGTTAATAGCACCTCCACAGAGGTTCAAATCCACAACCACAACTTCCTTTGTGAGAATTCAACTTGGTATCATTAGACCACAAGGTCCTTGGTATCTTAAAACACATTAAATTCATAGAAACATGAAATTAAAAAAAAAAAAAAAAAATACTGAATATTATAAGAATAACTCAAGTTAGATATAATTGTGAGGTAAGAATAATTACAGCAAACAACAAAAGCCATAAAAAAATCAAATAAAAAAAATATAATACTTTTAAATCAAAATATAAAAGTATTATATTTTTCTTCAAAATTATTACATTTTCTCATATAAATAATAAACATTTTCCTTATTAGTTACATTTGAAAATATGTCTCACATAAGTTTTTGTCTTTTTATTTTATTTTTATGTATATGTTACCAATTCTCTTCTTTTAATCAAATTTTCGTTTTGAAGCCTATCTAATAGGAAATGCTAAAACCAGAAAATCGTGTCTAGCTAGTTTAGTTTTCCAAGGCCTAGTTGTAAATGACTATTTAAAAAAAAAAAAAAAATTGAACTCATATATTTTCATTGTGCCAATTTGTTGCAAAATGATTTTGAAAAGTCAAGGCAAATATATTAAAATATTTAATGGGATGGTGGGCAATATTTTAAATTATTAGTAGTATAATATGATTCTACATAGACTTCACAAACATTCTTGACTCTAGAACTATAAGTTCGTCAAAGTAAGAGCACAACACAACAAAATGGATATAATTATATATTATCAGTGATGAATCTTTTTTTGCAGATCGGTCACGACGTCTAACAGTCCAGTTTCACAAAATCTTCCGATCCTGACATTATAGTAACACATTACTTAAATTTTTATTTCAATACATAGAGGATCGGAAACCATTGTCCACAAAAAAAGGATTGACTGTGCCAAAACCAATTAACCACTTGAATTGGTCAAAGATGAGCTATGAGACGACAGGAGTCAGGGCCTCTCGTCAGCATCCATCAATCGCCGTCCGTAGAACTCGCCGTTGCTTCAATTGGCCGGTCCAAAAACCAAGTACGGAGTATTATTTTTTAGTGCTTTTATAATAGCATCCTCATTTAGTCATTTGTTAGGTTTTTAGGACAAATTTTTAAGTGTCAATTAGGAGGGAAGAAGTTAGAAAGGAGATAAAAAATCAAGAAAAAACAAAAAAACAAAAACAAAAACAAAAACAAAAAAAGCGGTTGCTGCACGCACCTGACTGAGCACATTTGTGCACTTACACGAAGTTGAATTGGAAGTGATTTTTTTTTTTTGTGGGGCCCACTCAAGGAGACAAAAATTTTGGTCTTTCTTGCAAGAACTACAAATATTCTCTCTTCTCACGCTCTCTCTTCCACATATGCATTGTTTCTTCAAAAATCACACCAAGATGCATTGATATGGATGCTCTAAGTGCAACCTCATTAGAGCATCACCGGTAATAGACTTTTTTTTTTGTTTTTAGAACTGTAAAAAATTGAGTAATTGGTTTTTGTATAATTTGAAACATGGTTTTTTGCAAGATTTTTTCTCTAACAAATAAAAACATGGTTTTTGCATGAGAGAAGAAAAAAAAAAAAAAAAGTGAAATTGCGCGTGTGGAGCACACTGCGCGCTCCCTTTTAAACAAAAAAAAAATGTAGGAATATTTTTTTTTCTTCTCTTCCAATTTTCTCTCTTTCCTACCTAGCTTCCTAAAATATTTTGCAAAAATCCAACCAATGGAGAAGCTCTTAGCTATAGTTTTTTTTTTGAGGTTTTTGTCTAGGATAGAAGAGAGAGAAAACAGGGAGAAAAAGAAAATGAACAAAAATAAAATCTAACAATTTTTTTTTTAAAAACAAAAAAGATAGAAAGCTCTACAGGCTCGCCCACTGTGGGCCGTGCACTGCACACGCCATGCTGGGCGCGGAAGTGCTGAAAACGCGTAAAGTGCGCTGTCAATTTCTCCAAGCATGGGGTCCCAAGAAACTCAAATTTGTAGGAAAATAAAAATAAAAATGAAAAAAAAAAAACTTAAAAATCATGTTTCCCATTTATATAAAAATCAATCCATATATCTTTTGTCTGCAAAAAATCTTTCAAGCAAGATCCACAAATGAGATTGCTCTAAAGATCATATAAATGATGAGAACGGTCAAACGAGCAACATGCGATTAAGTTAGTCGAACAATTAATTTGGTAATTATAAGGGTCAAAATCTGACTCTTTAGAAGAATAATCTATTGACCTTTTTTATTTGATTCGCTCAACTATGAGAACCTAAGCTCGTTTATATCTTTATAATCCTTTACCAGTTAGGATCACAATACTATATGGACTTCACTCAGAGCGCATCTTTAGATAATAACAGTGAATTTTTCTCTAAATTAAAAGACAGACTATGAGAACAATGACATTATTTAATTTCTATAAGGACACTTAACAATTTGCAATTGGTGCATTTACTATAAACCATGGTTGCAGTAGGCGTTGGGCGCTAGTCGGGCGCCCGGGCAGCACCTAGCGCCTAAGCGGTCTAGTCGGCGCCTAGCGCCTAAGCGGCCTAGTCGGCGCCTAAGCGGCCTAGTCGGCGCCTAGGCGGAATCTAGGCGGCGCTAGGCGGTCGCGAAAAAAACAGTAGCAAACTTGCAATTTGACAATTTTAATGAGGCTGTTTTCAACATTCAATCAAATAACACATCCAAATAAATAACATAATGACAATTCATAAGTCATAACATCAAAAGAATATTAATAAAAATAAAAACTCAAATGAAATACCCAAATACTTCAATCATCCAAAGATTGAAAGTATCAAACTAGTCTACAAGTGTATATATGTCATATTATATGTATTTGTCATATAAATGAAAAAAATTAGCAAGGTCGAGTTGGTCAGGTTAACTCGACTAACTCGACAGAAATTGACGAGTTAACTCTGCGTAATCGGACGAGTTAGGCGCTAGGCAGCTGAATTAGGCGCTAGGCGGGCGCCTAGGCGGCCGGTCTCCTAGGCGGGAGCCTAGGGCGAAAATCGCCATGACGAGTTAACTCTGCGTAATCGGACGAGTTAGGCGCTAGGCGGCTGAATTAGGCACTAGGCGGGCGGGATTTTTACAACCCTGCTATAAACTAGAGTTAATCATGCAATAACACAAGTCCCGAATTAGTACCAATGACCGATTCTAATTTCTATTGGAACCAAACCCACTTGGAAAATGTGTAGTTTGTATTACTTTACACTTCTGCCCCTTTTTTCCAACTTTTAACACTTGTTTTAATTTGTCAAAGGTCTATTTAGCTGACCCTTGACCCAACATCATAAAACCAACAACAAAAGTAAGTACAACAGCAATCAAATGACACTTGCCCAAGTAATGAGCAACACTAAGATTACATACACACAATTGTACGACGTGCCAATCACTACTGGAAATTATGAAATTTTCGACCATCAGAAAGTGATCTTAAATCAGGTCGAAAACCTTGTTCCGATCACTTTTGGTATTCGGAAAAATCTTTGTTGCTATTTTCGACCACTTTTTACTTTCGACTTGATTTAAGATTACTTTCAGGTCAAAAATTGCATAATTTCCAGCAGTGAATTAAAGGTTCTAGGTTCTAATAATTCTAAAGTGTTTAAAGGTATCATGCGGCACAAAAAAGAGGAGGGCAACACACAACACTAACACAACCAAATGGACAAAGTTGGGCAGTAACATCCTCTTCATGTAACTGATAACCTCACCTGGAACATAAGTAACAAATCTGTTAATATGTTCTACCTGACATTTAATCAGGCAATCGTCGTCGAAACTATACGTAACCAACTTGTAGAGTTCCTGCAGAACAACAACAACGTTGTTGTCATTACCAGGCTGGTGTTGGATGATCCCTGTCTCCCTCAGAAACTTCACATCCCCCGGGGTGGCTGCAATGTTCGACAAGAACACCGTTAGGCTACTAAAATATGGTTTCACTCGACGTGACCCTTGCTCGTATGCCAACAAGTTTTTTAGGACACTAACGTTAGTGTCGTCAATACAAAACGTTGGAATCCTCAAAACCCCTAGCCAGCTAAACTGGATGTCCAGTGGCCTCCTAGCTTCCCTCCTGGCAATGAATGTAACTCCTTTAGACCTTAATGTTGAGGTATTTTGTACCCAAAACTTGGTTTCCGATGATGATGTTGACGATGATGATTTTTTGTTGTCTCCTTTATCCATTCCCAAGAAACTGCTGTGAAATAGATCCAATAAGTGTTTTGGGTTTTTTTCTGCTGTGGATTTGACATCCGCCGTTACTGCAACTTTCCCAAATTGGACTTGTTTGAAAAATTGAAGGGCCAGCTTCTTCAAACAATTTATTGGTTCGTTATTGGTCAATATGACATAAACTTTGGCAAGAATGAAAAATGGGAGCTGGTTATCTAGCATGAGTAAATCCTCACAAATTGTAGGCAGCATCCAACGCGTTGTAAACACCAAATTGTTTGCTAATTCTCCGTCACCCTGCATATATAATATTTGTTATATTTTTAATAGTATAGAAACTATATATATATATATGGCGTCAGGTTCATGTGCAAACCGTGCTTCTCATGCGGTCAGCATCATTAGGTATGCATATAAATGCACTACAAAGTGTTCGAAAATATACAATTAGGTATAGACGTGTAGTGCATGTTTTTGGTATGTGATGCATTTTGTGGTGCGGACATTTGTGTATTTTATTCTGGTACATTCTCGTACAATGTATGATGCATTTATGTATACCTAATGGTGTAATTCACACTAACTACACTAGAAGCCCGGTATTCATTTGAACCTATATATATATATATATATATATATATATATATATATATGGATGGGATCTGGTGAGAACATGGTAATAACTGCGGGCTGATCCCAAAAGGTTGAATCCTCATTTCCAGTGGCCCCATGACCCGTCCGGGCAGAACATTTGGGAGGCTATAAATCATGGTAAGTCAGCTGAACATGCTAGAATTTATGTTGTACAAGATGTAAGCATATATGCGTGCCTAATTTAGAGTAGTAGTACCTTGTAGAATTTGTGGTCATAAGCCATGAATAGGTTTATGATGAAGAAGGAGTCAGTGAGCAACATCTTCACAAATGCATCTCCATCTACATGGTTGAAATAATGGGAGTACCATTTCCTAGCCCTACCCTCCATCTCTAGCAAGGCGTTTGTGAGGGATGCTCCGGTGCCGGAACTCCATCTCCGGGATTCAACATCAAGAAGCTTTGCTTTGTGAGTTTCCATTTCTGAAAGTTTGGGGTTTCCAAAGTGGTTGGGGCCAATGGAGACCAACTGGGGAATCTCACCACCTCCCCTTCCTATACTACTTATCCCTCCTTCTCCATTCTCTTCTGCAATGATATTCATAACGTGCTGCGGCAAAAGTTCACTGCAGTATTCTTCTTCTTCTTCTTCAATCTCAGGGAGATAGCTGTGTTCTTCTTGCTCCATTCTTGTTAGGCCAGGTTGTTTTCCTAGGTTTATATATAGAATAAATACAAACAAATAGATAGAATAAAAATGTAGTAATTGCTACTGTTTGAAGGTGTGCACTGGTCCAGTGACGAGCTCAAATCAATAAGGCCAATATAGCTAAACATGTTGACTAAGGACCACCACTAACTAGTTCAAACCAAGGCCATCCAATAGGCCATTGCCATTTCTGCCAAGAGTTAGAACTTGTAATAACTTTGTGGTTATTGTCTGAATAACTTGGCTGAGGTTGGCCCCAATAAAATAATACTTGAAACAAATAAGTTCCGTGTAAAATCATCCAACATGACACGTATAATACTTTTTATGAGTTTTATTTATTTTTATTTTTTAAAAAAAAAGTATCACATTGCACGTTGAATGATCTTACCCAAGACATTCTATATGAAAAAAAAAAAAAAAAAAAAAAAAAGGATCAAACCTGAGAATTCTTCTTTGGATATTGGCCTGGGATTTACTTTGAGAGCTTATGAAGGCAGGCAAGGGGGCAAGAGTGAAATCAACTTGCCTGCACAGGAGCCTATATATAGAATATTTTAGATGAAGGGTATGACTGGCTTCTACATAGGATCTCAATTTTAGTAAAAAGTCAAAATGAGCATAAGAACATAAATTTTAAAAAAATAAAAATAAAAAATGACCATTACCTTAACCAATAAAAGTCTAAGAACATAAATGAAAAATGAGCATTACCTTTACCAATCCCAAGGTATATAGCACAGAGACCGACAAACATGCACGAGCACTTTTGCTGTTCTACAAATATAAACATAACGTGTTTTTGTTTTGGAAAAAGATAAAAATTTTATACATCAACCAAAGTTTATTTTACATTATGAATTATGATTTAAGAAATAACATTCAAATTATATATTTGTAGTTACTATATTATGTACATGATGAGTTTAATTAATTCGAAGTAGTCAAAATTAATAAACCCAATAATAAATAATAGATAATGTAAATGAATAGGAAAAATAGGCAAAATTGTGTTGTAGGGTCGCAGAGATCAAATATATTGTATTAATAACGGGATTGTCAAGCTATTACAATGGCAATGTAATGCTATTACAAGAGTAATTTAGGACAAATGAACTAGAACATGTCTTAATGAGATAGGAGGCCTTTTATACATAACGCACCTCTAACCGCCTCCCTAAAGAGGAGGGTACGGTTATAACCACCTCTGACCGCGCTCGGCGCCCTAGTAGGTCGACCGAGGGGTCGGCGTGAGAGCTCCGCCGAGGGGCCAGCACGAGGGGGTCAACTCATGGGCTCGGTTCGACCGAGGAGGTCGGCCCATGGGCTTGGCCAAGGAGGTCGAAACGAGCATTTATGATCTTGTAGGTAAAGTCATCGAAACGAGCCAGCAATACGGGGCAGACTTGAGAATGGACCGTCTCGCCAGTAATAAAAAATTAAATATCATATAAATATAATTAGATTTATGTGTTTAAACAAAAACTAATAGTTCTAAAATCCAAATAGATAAACCAGAATAAAAAACAATCAAAATAATAATCCGATCCAAACATGCATTAATACAAATTACAAACTCTAGATTGTCAAATAATAGTTTCAAAGTCCAAACTTTCAACATTAGGAACTAAAATATGATGTTTTGTAAATAATAAAACTCATCAAGCATCACATCATCCATATCAAATTCTTCCTCTCGATTTCCATCAATGAAATTAGTAAAAATAAATATTATTTTTAATATATTTGTGGGCCAAAATCACTACCCGCTCGGGAGAACTGTGAATTGAAATCGATCTTAGGACTTAAATCTTTATATTTATGTTCAAATTGGGATCTTAATTTGAAAAATGACAAAAATACCCTTAATAATTTCATATTTCGGCATATCTTAAACGGATGAGTGGCCGATGTGATAAATTTTGGCACTAAAACATTAGTCGTGGATGAAAATTGGTACTAAAACAATAGTCGTGAACGAAAATTAGTACTAAAACAATAGTCATGGAAGAAAATTGGTAAGAATTAAACATGTGAACCAAAACTGTCATTTTGCTAATACTCGTGGGATCAAAATTAATATTTATTTGCTCTTTTAGAATTTAGCAACCTGCTCCCTAACTACTTGAGACACATCTCCATAGCTCATTCACATATCTTTAGGGTAGGAGTGGTGATATGTTCTTAAGTTTAATGTTTAAACTTATAAAAAAATGACATGATTTAGGCCCTGTTTGGTAAAATAGTTAGTCTATATATCAATTTTGGTTTATTTGACCACTATTAGTTGTTTGACTTGGTTTAAAAATCAATATAAGTGTTTGATAAATTATCTTTTTGTACTCCAAAATGTTAAAATTCAAAAAGCTAGCTAGTCAAAACAACTTTTTCAATTAACTTTTTGAGAAAAGAAATTATACCAAATAGATATCAGCTAACAGCTACTTTACCAAACACTTTTTATAATCAGCTAATGTTATCAACTAGTTATACCCTCTAATTAACTCAATCAACTAACAATCATTTACCAAACAGGACCTTAATCGTTAAAGAAACAAAACTTAAAGAAGTATGTATATGCATAATTATAGTAACATATTAATGAGTAAAACAACAGTCTTATATTAAATGAGCTTTATTTGCATGTAAATTTATCTGGTGGCTGAGAAAGAGACAATATTGAGAAGAGCATAATATATAGAAGCGGGAGACAATATTGAGAAGAGCATATAATATATAGAAGCGGGAGACAATATTGAGAAGAGCATATAATATATAGAAGCGGGTCCCGCATTTCTAACTACAAGAGTTCGTTGTTATTATATTATAGTTCTATAATAGAAAAATACTATGTGTATCCCTATTTTATACTCTTAATTTTTATTTACATACACACAAAATTTTGATATACACACTTATATTGGGATCCACATGAAAAAGAATAGCTTATTATAGCCCGCCGTATTAAAGAGTAAAAATTGAAGGAATAAGATTTAGGAGTAGATGTAGTAGAACTCACTATAATAATACTAATGGTGTTTGTGTAAATTTGAATAATGTTTAAACAGAATTTTTGACTGAAGAGGAAAATTCACTCGCCACAGTCACTATTTGATGATTTGTACCGAATAAACTTACTCATGTATAATAGTTTACAAATCACACAGGAAAAATAAATCATATTGAAAAGACTCAGTGCGACAGCTTTGACCGAGCTAATTAATAGTGTGTTAATAAAATTCAAAATCAAAATATTTTGACACAAAAATTATATTTCATTCACTCAACAACCCTTCCGGAACATAATGTTCAATAATTGACAATGCAAATACTGGGTTTGGTGCACCATATGAAGCAGAAATTGATGAGTCACGTAGTTATATATGACTTAATATCTTTTCTTTTGTTTTTTTTTTTTCTTTTGTTTTTGTCAAGATATATGACTTATTTTTTTATATTGTGGACCAAGATCCACAATGTCTAATATACATCATTTAATTTCATAATATACAGAATTTATATTTATAATACATATATACATAATCTTTTTTTTTTCTATTTTTTTATGGGCTTGCTTGGACTTTGAAGCCTTAGATAAAGACAATTAAGCTGAAAATGGAAAACTATCCATTAGTATTTAATTATAATTATTATTTGTTTACTATTCCCATGGTTGAAAATATAAAAACGAAAAATAGAAATTTTGCAAGGCAGGTAATTAATGGCGAAGTTTCCATATTTCTTCCCGTTTTGGTCTGAAGGTGACTTTAGGGTGAAGTTGACAAGTTTCTTTCTTCTTTTTTTTTTTTAGACAGAAAATTCACGGTCACTACTCAAAGGTATATACTAAGTAAACTTCACACGACTCAAATCAAGAAAACTAATATGTTATTCCCACTAGAAGTGGAACTTGAAATTTTGTGATTATCAAGTCAATAGTTGTTATACCGTGCATCACGGCGCACATAGCAATGTGCGACTCGCGCATCTCAAAACGACGTCGTTTTGTCAAGTTCTGTTGGGAATTGACGCGACGGAGTGTATGTATGTTCTGTTATAAAATTCTGTACATTCTGTTATATAATTCTGTACATTCTATTATACAATTCTGTACATTCGAAACATGAGATTTTTTTTTTAAAGAGTTATTATGTTAAGAGTTTATGTGTATTATGTATTATGTTAGATTATGTGTATTATCTTTTCAAAAAAGATTATGTGCATTCTGTTATAAATTTCTGTTACATTCTATTATACAATTCTGTACATTCTATTATATAATTCTGTACATTTGAAACATGTGAATTTTTTTAAAGAATTAAGAGTTTATATGTATTATCCTTTCAAAAAAGATTATGTGTATAATGTTATAAAATTCTATACATTCTATTATACAATTCTGTACATTCGAAATATTGAGAAATTTTTTTTTAAAAAAGAAGTTAACAGCAGACACGCAAAAATGTACAAAACGACGTTGTTTTGGGCAAGGCCCTAGTGCACAGTATAATTTGTCCCAAGCCAACAGTCTGACCAACTTGGCTGTATATTAAAATTGATTTACCAACTTAATAAATTATTGATATCCCCTTTACATTATATTTATCATTACAGTTTTATCCGACTCATTACCATCCCTAATCATAACTCTTTAGAATGAACTTTGTAGTTATATTTGTAGTTTGCACACCAATTACCCCGGCCCAATTGTCAAATTAATATGTATATTTTTCACAATCGTTATGCCATGGAACTGTGTTCTTTATCCATGGTGAACACGGTTCAACGGTGTTAGTGCACCGTTATCTTTTTTTTTTTTTTTTAATTAATCGCGTGACTTTTCTTCTTCATTTTCACATTTTGCGGTTTCACTTTAATTTGAGGTGAGCAATGATTTCGGACATTCATAAATTATGAATCCATGCCTGCACATTCAGTTTGGAACCATGCCTACACATTTCTGTTCGAAACCATGGCTG